CTTTCCTTTCCTTTTCTTTCCTTTTCTTTCCTTTCCTTTTCTTTCTTACATCTTTCTACCCCCTCTATATATCAATGTCTCTCATTTTCAATTGGAAGCTGCAAAGCCAATTTCATAAAACACATGCTGTAAAGCTTGATTAAATTCTTGGCTATATGTCATCATGAGGCGAGGAGAAGCTTTGGCGTTTTCATACCAAAGAATTCTCGAGTAAAGAGTGCCAAACAAATGTTCTTTAACGTGCCGTAAACAGTGCTTTTTCTTGTTTAGATGAGGCGGATCTCCAGACACATACAGAAATCACACTTTTAGAGCAAACAGAGACAGAAAAAGCGAGAAAAAAATAAATTGAAAATGATTGAGCAAAAAGCAACACACAAAAAGAAAAAAGTAGGATTTTTTTAAAAAGTTGACCAACAGCATAGTTTTGGTCGTTGTCCATCAACGAGTTTTACCGGTCGTTATGTGCAACTATAGAGCTGTAACTTATCGTTATCCCTAATCAAAATCGCCGCTTAATCCATTCTTTTCATGAGCTGACTATGACAAGCACGGTACTATTTAGGGTTATCTCAAAAAGATATCTTTTTTGCTGCAAGGCAATACTCGGGATTCGTTTCCGCAAGTCGTCGGCGCACGGAAGAAACGCACCGTGGTGGTAGTTATAGATTTCCGCCCGTGATTATAACCACTAGAAATTTATCATGATTCAAGCAAAGCATTAATTATTGCCAATCCAATGTCATCCAATGAGATAAATACGTTATTAGTCCTCTTGAGGCAATCGTGTTATCAATTTGTAATCTTTCTTTTTTTCAACAAACAGTTTATCGCCAGCGACCAGGTCACGCGTGAGTTTTATGTATCGCGTGCTCTCTTCTATTGAATTCCAACAATGCTACACTACGATAAGGCGCCGACTATCGGCATTTCTCGACGAATTTGTCCACTGAGCCTGCAATCTTGAAAGTCAGAAAACGGTTACGCATGCGCCCTAATAAACTTTTAAAAAGTTAAAATTTCTCAGGGAATCTGTATGCTGAGCATACGATTCTTGAAGCCAGCAAATTGTTACGCATGCGCTCTAACAAACTTTATAAACACTTACAATATTGGCTTAACTTGGTTTAGAACGAAATCCTCGAGATTGTAACCTAATTTTCACACAGTGATAAGGTATAGTAGACAGCTAGACTGTTAATAATGAATATGGTTATATAGGTTTATAGCTCGATGTTCAAGTTCAAATGACTTATATCTGCTCTTAGTAACCTTAATGACTGATAAATACCTCAGAGACCAAACGAAGACGGTTCGATGGACAGCTCAATATATCAATATATCTCCTTAGATATTTAAGTCTATAAACAAAGGAATCATTCTCAAAGGTCTGAAATTATTAAAAAATTCAGTTTGATTCGCCAGGTAAAATTCACTCACAAGAACGTGATGATATACAACAAATACAGTAGTTTTCTCGTTGATCATCGACCTTTCGCCGCGAAATGATGAAGAAAACATCCAAACACAACAGTCGTCGTAGGCTTGGTTGGCGCTTATTTAATAAAGGTAGTGGATTTTTTCACATTTTTTTACTCATTTTATTTATATACGTGAAGTTATCGGTGCATTTTCATGTGATGTTAATAATGAAAGAGAGAGGGAGGAGTTTCATTAGAAAATAAATAAATGAATGAATGAATATATGATCGAATGTATCAAGTGAATGTATGTATAACTGAACAGTTCATTTGATGATAATGATCAAGAGAATATATGAACTAAGACTGAGAAGGAATCCCCGCGCCTCCATCATGAGCACTCTTTGATGCTATTTTTAGAATCTTTGATGCTATTTTTAGAATCATACTGCGCGTACTCTACCCTGTTCGCTCATGCTTTCTTGTGTTTTTCAAAAAACGTAATTAGCAAACAGCGTGGAGCGTGCGCAGTATGCGCTTGCACAAAAACAAACTATGGCATATGTGATTCTAAAAATAGCATCAAATGGTGCCTATGACGGTTACAAGAATAAATAACAGAGATTCCTTCTCTTAGTCTATTTTTTCTTGCAATGATGATATACTTTGAGTTAATTTCATACGCAATGAGTTAGGAAAGTCAAAATTATCTTTTAAAGTATTTTTCCATAATATAAGTAGTAAGGATGAACAATTTAGACAACAGACCTTTCATCGATACGGCGGCCATCTTGAATTCTATTGTTTTTATGAAGACATTATGGGATGCTGAGGGGGGAAGTATTGGAAAATATTATAGACTGCACAGCTGTCATACAGAATGTCTATTCATATACTTTACGTTTTTCAATGAAAGCACATTTAAAAATCATTCGAATTTGCTGAATACGTGAAACACCAAGACTTCAAGCTGAAAATCTTTTTTTGGGTNGAGAGGGGGCACTGCAAAAAAAAAACACAACAATAACTTGATAAGAGTAATAAAAATCGAA